AATAGGTTGTGAGTACACATGGCCCAATGGTGTCTTAATTCTTCATTTGAAATTCTAAAGGTTTGCGTTTCATTTTTGTTAAGCATGTTGCATTACTCTAAAACAGATTTTAAAAGAAAGATACTGAAATATAATTCCACATAGTTACTGAGTCACTGACTTTTTCAGATCTCTTATAGGTAATCACCCTTATTTATAGATGGGAAACATTCAACTGCAGAATTAAATGATTTGCTCGAAAGGAAACAGGAATAAATGGCAGAATCAACCACCTAATACTTTGGATTTTTGGAAAGTATTAAAAATAAACAAATCAAAACAACAAAGTTCTCCATTTCTTTGTTTGTGGAGTATTCTCCCCTCTGGCCCCAGCGAAATAAAAAGTCAGAAAGGAGATCCTCTGGAAATTAAACCAATGTGTTTAAAGTTAAACCTGCCTCATGTCACTTGTACAGTTTACACAACATTCGTATCCTTAAGTGCTACCATAATTTTGTGAATGTGAGCACAAAGAAGTCCAGGAGGCCACGAAATTGTTCTCACTGGCTTTTTGTGTAGTGTAGGATAATGAGGCAATTTTTGCTTTGTCTATATATATTTTGTGTATTACTTGATTTTATGATCATATATTATTTGTATGACTTTACCTTTAAAGTCAATACAAACAATTATAAATGTAATTTGGCATTTACAACACACATACACACACACACACACACACATTTTTTTTTTTTCATTAAACATTAGGCAAATGGTGGTTACATGAAACATGAAACTCTGGGACTACTTCTGTTTCACAGGTTCAGATCCTGTGTCCTGACTTTTGGTCTGAAAAATATAGGCTTGGTTAATGTATTCAATTGTGTACTTTTACCCAATTCTCCATTACCTCCTATTTCATCTTCCACCATAGTAACTTTAGACAAGAAAAGTATGTTTGAAGATTACCACGGGTTAACTACCTGTATTCCGTTATAAAATCTTTGTATGTAGTGTTAGTCTTTGGTTTTGTGGTCAGGATCGACTATAATCAATTCTGATTCTTAATTTGTCAAATGTGAGACCTTGGCCAATTTATCTAATCTTTGGGTAAACTAGTCTCCCCATGTGTAAATTAGGTATGAGAAAACTTAACCTTTAGGGTTGTTGTGATAACTAAAAGAGCTCCAGTTTGTCCAGTGCTAGGTTTTATAGGGACTAGATACAGGAAGATTTCTTTCTTCTTCATTTGATTTAAATCCAACACTCAATGTTACTGTTGTCCCAGGTAAAATTTTAAATATTCATTTTGCTATAAATCAGACATGATTTTCAGCACTCTGTTTTAAAAAGTAATGTGATTTCTTGTGGAATAACTAAAATAAGGACCCACTGACAGTTGTTTCCATATTAAAGTGAGGTGGATTTCACCCTAAAGCTTCTGAGTTGCCAGACAAGCTTCACTTTATCAAGGAGAAAAATTAAAATCCACTAAACCAAAGTAAAATGAAATAAAATTCCAGAAGCTAAAGGACAAGTAAAGGACACAGTCTTCACACTCTGGACTTTTCTTTTGGTCTTTTTTCCATTGACTGTGGGATAAAATTTGGGGGAAATTGTGAGGGTGTGAATGGCCAAGTGTATGTTTGAGTTCTAAGACTTGGGTCATAATACCAAGTCATAATGTGTATTTTTCTATCCCCTCTCTTACTCAATGTTGTTCATTTTTTAGTGTTATTCAATATTTTCAGTATCATGATTTGTAGAAGTTTTTATCATAATTTCTTTTATTATTTTCCTTATATTGGGAATATACACCATTTGCAGTTATTCAGTGACACTTTAAAGTAGCAGTGTGATGGACATGCATTTACATAAATTGCCATCCACATCCTTGAATTTTTTTTGTTTGGAAATGATTCCTAGAAATAGAATCACTCTTAAGGAGTGTGAACGTTTTAAAAGATTCTTGATATAGTGTGACCTTTTTTTCCCTGAGAAAGGTGTACCAATTTACACTCCTACCAGCAGTGTTTTTCACATCATGTGCTTGTCGTCATCTATTAGCATCAATGATAGGTAAAAATGTTAATGTGTCATAATTTATATGTATTTGCTTCCCAGTGAAGTTGAGTATTATGTTTTATGTTTACTAGAGAAGACGGGGACACCGGAATGCTCCTTCTTTTCAGCAAGTATATATTTAGACACATTGTATTCCAGTGGTAGTTTTTCTCATTTATTTAAATATACGTCAATAAGCAAAATCTTGGCTGCAAACAATCATCTTAGCACTAAATTTAGTCAAGTGTCAAAGGCATTTTAAAGACACTAAATTTGGGATGCATCTCAGAAAAACATACTACATGATACTATGCTGATGAGATTTTCTTTTTATGGTAGGCAATTGGTAATTTTGTTGTTTACCCTGGGTTCCCCCACAATGTTGAACTAGCAACTTTCAAACCTGCATACATCTGCTTTTGTAATCAAAATTGAAAGATACAATTGAAAGGAAAGATTTAGTTCACAAACTGTATAATCTTCTGATTCTGCAGAATTGAAATGAACAAACTTGAACACATATTTAAGAACGCAAGCTCTAGTCAGCATATAACTTAAGACCGGAAAAAGGTTGAATTTCCTTTCAAAATAAGCACCATGCATGACCGTGCTTCCTAAGAAAAAAAGAAAAGGTAATATCTCTAAAAATTGTATCATCGTTATTTTCATACCGGTTACCATGGTTCAATTAGTCCCTCTCTATACAGTCTAGTGGTACATTTTTCTAAATTGTGAATATTCAATAATAATTACAGAATGTATAGTGTATATAAATGTGTGTTTTAAGTGGTCTTATGTATGATATTTCAAGATGTAAGCTTATTTTTCAGGATGTTGTGTTTTGGTACCTAGGAGGGTCAGCTTTGAATCATTTCTAGTTACATATTTCTAATTTGGGGGAAAATCAGTTTTTATAGGAATAAAATGTGGTCCAAGTCTTCAGCAGAGTGAAGGAGAAGACTGAATTATAAAAAGAGACTTTAAAGCCTTAGAGGAAGTTAATAAAATAATTTTATTGAATTCCATCATGACTCAGCTTCTAATATTAATTTTGTAAATAGGAAAAAGGTAATTAAATTACTAAAGCACCTTCATTTTAAAGGTTAACTTTATTATTATTGCTCATAGGAAAGTTTATTTTTTACCACTTTTAGAACCTAGGTCTTTTTAAATTGACGCACAATTCATTTGAGTGCTTTCTATGACGCGCAGTCAGACCTGCATCCTTCCTGTGTGGGCTCTGACTATCTAATACAAGAGATAATATAATGACTTACGTATCTAGAACACAAGGTAATGATTCCATTACCTGGGCATATCCCTTTTTGGATTTGCAGACAGTTTAATTTTAATTTTTACATCTGATCTTTAACCAGTGCTTGAGATGAAACAGAACTGGGTATTTGAAAGGAATTTAATTTGTTTTGCCCATTTTAATGGTAGTTTTTTTCTGAGTGTATTTAAAGAGCTTTTTATAACTACCATCTTGCAATTTTTAAAATGGAAATATATTTTCTATTGCTTATTTTTTTTACTGCAAAGCCTTATGTATTTGTTTTAGAAAAATTAGAAAATACTGCAAAGAAAAAAGAAAAACGAAAAAATAATAGATAATTCTAATTAACATGTTGGCAGATACTCCAGTTTATTCTATATAATTCCTATATACAATAGGGGATCAAAGTACTTGTTACACTGAATACCATACTCTGACGTTACATATTTTGTAAATGTTGTTATATGTTTTTGAATGAGCAACCAATAATCATGTTAGCCTGAAGACAAACTTTCTGTAGTTCAAAGAGGGTTTGCCAACTCTTTTTCAAAAAGGAGGTTTCACATAAAAATCCAGATGTCCACCTTCTCTTGATAAATGGGGGTTCTGTGCTGCTGGGGCTGACTCCTGGTTGGCCACAGTTGAGAGCAGATGGCCACAGTTGGCCTTAGCCAGCAGGAGCATGCACTCTGCATTCAGCACATTCCTGTCCTGATCTCCTTCGCATCTTGATGTGCCTACCTGACTCCCAAAACCAAATTGTTTGAAGGGCAGTAGTTTGTCTAGGATAGTGCTTTCAACAAGGCTGTACTGGCCCCTAAGGGAAGATTTGAAAGTATTTTCTGGATGCCACAGTGCTTGGAGGGCACTATTGACATTTAGTGGACTGCTGTCCTGTTATGTGAGAGGCTGTCCTGGACCTGGAAGTTGTGTCCTGCATTTTCAGCAGTCCCTTTGGGTATTCATGTAGGTGAAACACCTGTTTATAATTATTTGAGCCTAGAAACAAAATTGGTTGCACATATAAAAACTGCTTTAATTCAATTTTAGTATACATTGAATTTCCTAAGACTACAACTACTGTAAAATTTCAGGTAAAATTGTTCTTTGCTTTGGAAGGTTTACTGTGCGTTGTTCACCATTAGGAAAACCATGTCACTGACAACAAGGTGGCTCATGGTATTTGAATAACCAACACAATGCAGCTCCATCAGTGTTCATTTGTAGCATCCTTGTTCAATATAACAAAAAGCAAAATTAACACTTCTTTCACATTTTTTATGAATAAGAAATAAATCTCAGATCTTATGAGAGAATATTAATGCTTCTTTGTGTGTTTTTCACTTTTACCATCTATAATTTGCCTTGGCATGTTATCTAGACTTCAGTTACTCCCTTCCTTTTATCACTTGCCTGTAAGCCTGATTTATTATTTCCTTTTTTTTTTTTTTTTTGAGACGGAGTCTGGCTCTGTCGCCCAGGCCGGATCTCAGCTCACTGCAAGCTCCGCCTCCCAGGTTCACGCCATTCTCCTGCCTCAGCCTCCCAAGTAGCTGGGACTACAGGTGCCCGCCACCTCGCCCGGCTAGTTTTTTGTATTTCTTAGTAGAGACGGGGTTTCACCGTGTTAGCCAGGATGGTCTCGATCTCCTGACCTCGTGATCCGCCCGTCTCGGCCTCCCAAAGTGCTGGGATTACAGGCTTGAGCCACCGCGCCCGGCCCCTGATTTATTATTTCTTATTCTAATACTAAATTTTAGCCTAATGTCGATCAACCACTCACCCTCCAGTCTTTCACTTTCTTAACCTTCTTGAAAGTACTGGCTTCTTCTTACTTCTCTTTAATTCATATTTACTTGTTGGTAGTAGGGTAGGCATCAGATAAGTTCCTCAATATGGAGGTTATGCTCATGCCTGGGGCACTTTATGATTAAAAATAATATTATTATAGAGGTTGTTTGTATAAACTATGAGCTTTGTGTTAGGTTAGTAAAAGAGGCATTACAAAATACTTGTTTTTAAATGTGAAGCTTTGTGCTTGAGCAGCTTAATGCTCTGGGTGAGCATAGAGAATATACATTGGTCCTAAAGAGGCTTGCAGGCTTCCAGAAAGACATTACATAGAAATAAGTTATGTCTAGACTGAGAGGATGATGAAATATGCTCCAGGATTTCAGAGAGGGGCAAGTAGGTATGTTTGAATGGGTGAGGAAGGCCTGTGGATGAAGCCGAGGAGGTGTCACCCAACCTAGATGCTTGGGGAAGCTGTTAAGAGTTTTGGAGAAGGGGACAATGAAGCAAAGTTCTCTCCCTTCTTTTTCACTTCCCCCCATTCTTTTTCTTCTAGAACTGTATCTTTTCTTCTTTCTTTCCTGAAGATGCAAAAGCTACAGATGTGAATGAGAGGGACTAAAGCCAGAGTCATGACTGTGAAGTATTGATTTCAGGTATTTGTTCTTAAACTCAGACCAAATATAAAAAGATGACCTTGGGGGCTTAGAATTGTGCAGTTTTTGTTCTTCAAGAGAATTTATTGGAGAGATCTCAGAGTAAGGCATTGCTTGTATTTTCCTTCAGCATAGTACTTAGATTTTCATTTTCTTAGATCTAATTATAAAAGAGACTTAGGAGGTGGAAAATAAATTCAATAAGTCTTCAAAGTTTTTCCTTTCTTTATTTTATAAGCTAAGTATCATTGAATTGGGGGAATACTAAGAAGGGTATCGGTGACAGAATCACTAGTTTCCTCAACCTGCCTCAGCTTACCAAATTTAACTCATTTTGTGAAACTATCACCACATGTAAATATATAAAAAATTAGAATTTCTTTGAAGAAACATTTTCTTAGCCAATCAAAAGTAAGAGCTAATGAGGCTTCAGGATGATTTGGTTTTCAGACTTTTTTTTTTTTTTTCCCAATGCCACAATGCTTAGATACGGTGGGAAAGGCACTTCAAAGTGAGTACTCCAGATTTAATTCAAATGCACCCATTTAAGTAGCTCAGAAAATTGCATAATCTATGGTTTCTGGAGTGACAGTGTTTTATATGTTGAAATCTTTTGGAGTGAGATTGAAACAGCATAATCATTTTATTTCATTAAAATCAGTCTCAGCCTCTTCTTTTTCCTTTCATTCACTGCAGGCTTTTCCATCTAGGAAACAATTCATAGCTGCTTCTTCAGAGGATGTCTAATTTTCCCTCATTCAGAGGGACACATTTGGTAGTTTGCCCTGTGTTTTAATTAGTAAGCTTCAGAGAAAGAGAGTCGTCGGAGCCAGGGCCCCCAGTTGTGGAAGTTTCTATATCCGGTAAATTGGATCCATTCCAGGGCAGAATCATTTATCAACAAATGAAACACCAGCCACTTCCCACACGTCCTCTGATTGCATTAAAAAAATCACTCCCCTTCCTACCCAAATTGAGTATGCTTACAGTATGGAGCTGACGAACATTCTCTTTCCTTCTCCTCCTCCTCCTCCTCCTCCTCCTCATTCTGTTGAATTGCTGGTTTCTGTAATCTATTAGGCTTCTTATTAATAGTAATAAAATGTTCATTCATTAACTCTCTCATGCCTACATATCAGTTATAGTCACTCTCTTTGCCCCCAAGTTATGCAGTCTTTATAAGGTTGTTCAGTAGCAGAGAAATGAGCTGGGAAAACTGATATTGCATCTGTAGCATCAGGTACTATTTAACCAGTGGGAGGGACTGATAAAATTAGCAAGTTGACTAACCACTTCCCTTCCTTGCGGCTCTTTAATATTATAACGGATACAGAAAAGTTCAGAAGGACTGAGCTAGTTTGCGAAACCACAGCACACTTTGGCAAAGAGGGAATGCACAATAAAACGGGTAAGTTTCTTTCTTTTAACCTTTTAAGAGAACTGTGAAAAAGATAGTGGGGTAGACATTTTTAAGTTTGACTCTGCAAATCGTCTTTAATAATTTGTAGGCTGTGGAAAGATAAACCTGTCATGAGGAGGGAAGCAAAACGTTTTTCCAATCAGTAGCAGCAACAACAACAAAAATTACATTGAGCAAAACATTCAGCTCTGAGAATGCCTTTATTATTTCAGATAGATAAGACTAAAGTGTTTTTGGGAGAGGGTTCTTGAATTAGTAAAAATATTGATAAATAAGTTCCTGTACTCTGAGTTTTTGAAATTTAGCCTGGAATTGTCAGCAGGGGCATTATCTACTGAAGCTGAATGTCCGTCTGGATCTTGAAACAGCTTAGTCTTCTGTTGTCTTCTTTGTGGTTAAAATTTTTTGTTGCTTTTAACTCTTTTATTATCAAAAAGTTCAAACACAAGCAAAAATAGAGTGAATAGTGTAGAGATTTCCCATGCATCTATCACACGCCTTCAATAGCTATAACTTCAGAGCCCAGGTTGTGTCATCCACACATCTGTGGTACACTCCCTCCTTCAATCTAGTTGAATTGCAGCATTTTGAAATATACTTATTGTGAACATTAAATAAAAGAGGCCTAGGATTTCCTAAAGGCTTATACCAGCTCAGCAATATAAGGTTTAGAGAAATATTATTACATAAAATTGAATTATGAGTCATAGAAAGCACAAATGAGTTTCCAGTGGTTGTTTCACCAGTGGGAGCAGGAGTAGGGGATGGTAGATATTAAGATTGTAGTCTCTGGAGCCAAACTGTTTGGGGTCAAATTTTGGTTCCATCACAATCCAGTATCCTTAAGACAATTTCTTAACCTTTTTGTGTCTCAGTTTCCTCACCTGAAAATGAATACAATAGCACTGATCTGAGCATGAGGGATGATGAACCAGTGCGTGCCAAGACTCTGAAAATTGCTGGGAACATAGAATGCTCACTGTTAGCCTACAACTGTTGGTCAGAATTCTTAGAGTGATGGTAGGGTTGTGATTTGTCCAAGCGGAAAGCCAAAGGTTGTATCTGAGCATATTGGGCTATCTTCTTTTCTCCTGATTATTTTATAATGCCAGGCTAGGAAAAGTCTCCATTGAGATGTCTTGCTTGCTTTTGCACCCTCTGAAAACTCCTTGCTCTTGCTTCAGTCCTCACCTGCTCTGAATTAATTCTCTCTACAAACAAAAGGTATCTGAGCTTGTTTTGCCCACCCTCTCACTTTGAGGACGAGGGAGTAGAGATTTGTCTAAGCTCACAGAACAAGGAGTAGATCTGATGGAAAAGACCCTGTCATGGGCTTCATGGACTCCTCTAATGTCTGTTTGAAGGGGTACTGCAGTTGGGTTTAGGAAACACTGTTGGGTCTGAGAGGCTGCCTCATGTCTGAGGCTCTTATGCATCCGTCTCTGATGTAGAGGTCTTCCAGGGCTGCAAGTTACTCAGATACTTTTTTCATTGCTAATCAGAATAGTGAAATTCTGAGGATGGCAACAAATGGATGGTGAGGACCTTCCCTAAGCTATTTTTTTCTATACTATTCATCAAATAGTAATGGCTGTCATTTATTGAGCATTGACAATGCACCTGGCATGTGCTATGTGGTTTTCTTATTTACTCCTCCTTGTATCCCTATGTAATATTTACTATTAATATCTTCATTTTATAGAAAATAAACTAAGGTACAGAGAAGCTAAGCTACTTACCCAGCTGATAAGAGACAGCCAGGATTTTGTTCCAAGTCTGTCTGACTTCTTAGAGCATTTGTCCACAAGAAATAGGTTTGTTCAAACATGTGCACTCGAAATGCATCTGTGATTTTTGCTCTTAGGCTTCCTGAAGATGAAAGTCGTCAGTATTCCTATAAAGCAAGCTGAATGGAAAGCCTTTTCTCTAGTAATAGTTTTCCCACAGTGAATTTTCATAATGCCTAATTACAAGCTGGAAATTTGTCATAAATCTTGACAAATATAGAGGCGGGTGGGGATGGTGTGGAGTTACCACTGTAAAAAATAAATATGGAACTGACAGGTAAAAAAAGATATGCTCTTTTAGTAAATTAACCATGCTTCAGTGGTGGATTTTGTTTTTAAGGCCATTTGTCTCTCTTGAGTTTTTGTAGAGGAGGGTGAAATACATCTAAGTCAGTTTTTGAGAACATGCAGTGCTGTTGTAAAACAAATGATAAACACTGATGCGCTGCAGAAATAAAAGTTGGCTGAATCTTCTGGGAGGTGCTGAAGAGAACTGGGACATGCACAGTCAGACATTTTAGAAACCTGGAATTGACTTGAAGTGCTTTATCTTTTACATTACGGGTACAACTGCAAAAATAGAACTGAATGTGTGAATGAAGAGAGAGGTTAATTTCACAACTTTGGAGAATTTTTTTCCCCTCCAATAGAGTAGTGTTTTAAAAAATTTTTTTCTTCACTCGAGGGGACATGGTCTAAAATTTAGAGCTAAAAATGCAAACATCAGATATAAATGATTGACTTGCCTTTTATCAGGCAATCTGATACAATTTGCACTCGTTCATTTTTCCTTCATTGACTACAGTACTTTCGTCATCTTGACAGAATCAGTTAAGCTTTACCTATAAAAATATTGGTAGAGATTTGAAATCATATGATCTTTTTGCAGAAAAAGAAAAGGATAAAGGGAATTGCAGTTGCCAGTGTTGGGGTGAGTGAAGTGGGAAGGGTCACTGTTATGTTGCATTCTTGGATTCTTAACCTTTGAGAAAGCAGAGCAGCTCTTTAGTACTGGCCACTGCAAACCATTTTCCAGAATTTTTCCATCATCTCTGTTTTTTTCTTTTTGTTTTTGTCTCTAATGTCTTTATCTCATAAGAACATATTCACAACCTGTAAAGCAGGGTTTAGGGTTGGAAATTTATGTTTGTCTATCAATAGAGACAGATTCAGAGTGCTATTTAGCTTGTCAGTGTCCACTTCTTTGTGCACTCATGTAATTTCTGGTGGGGTTGGTCACCCATTGGATTACTGTGTACTAGTGCCTTCATGTTTACAGATTGTTTTCTATCCTAATATTTAACATTTGTCAATGCATTATGTCACTGCTATTATTAAATGTGAAAATTCAGTAAGTTTTAAAAATCAATAAACATTAATTAATGCTTGATTTAAATGCTTGATTTAATTAATAACTTAATTTAAATTTTAATAATAACATGTATTAAAAGTCTTGAATAGATAAAGCATTGTTTTCCCTTGAGATGAATTCTGTCTTCATTTGTTCTTTTGTCCATTTATTCACAATTACTTAGCATCTCCTGCTGGAGATCCAGAAATCAATAATCACAGTTTGTGCCCTCAGAAAGTTCACAGGTTTGGGGTGAAAAACAGTTGTATGAAATAAATGATGCTATAGTTCACAAAATATATTCTAACTACATTGGACCATCTGCATTGGGAGAGAGGGTATGTGTGTATGGATAATCCCAGACCCTGGGATTAGAGCATCATGGTTCAAAGCCCATTACCCTCTGTTTTTGGGTATTTAACTAATGTTCTTAGGCCATGATTTCTTCACCTGTAAAATGATACTGAGCTCCTAGGGGTGTTGTATTAATTTAACATGTAATACATGTTAAGTATTTATATAGCATATCCTATAGTCTTTGGGGGATCAAGGATAGTCTCTCAAATGAAGTTAACTTTAAACAGCCTGAATGGCATAGATGCTTCTAGTCACAGGGAACTGGGTATGACAAAATGGAAAAGAGTTTTGCTTGTTTGAGAAAGAGAGTAAAGGCCAGCATGGCTGAAACATGTCAAAAGTGGGGAAGTTTCTTAGAGGTACTGGAAGAGTCCAGATCGTGCTGAGCCTAGTAGGTCATGTTATGCAGCTGCATGTTGTGCAAGTGCAATCAGAAGTGATTGAAAGGTTTACACAGAGAGTTGCATGACCTGAATAATATTTTTAAACTAGTTGCAGAGTGGAGAATAGATTTGTGAACAGCAAGAGTAGACACATGGAAATAGGTTAGAAAACTGTTTCAATAGCTTAGTCCAAAAATGATGACCATTTGGATTAAACAGTGTCAGGGGTGTAGGGGCAGTGGACAGAGTGAGAAATCCTGTATAATTAATAGGACTTGGTAAACAACTGGATGTTGTTGGGGAGTGCCAATTATGATCCTATGGTGTTTAGCAACTGGGTCTAGTGAGATGTCATGTGTGAAGATGGGCAAATTGGAAGAAGAGCAGGCTTGGACTTCTCAATTTACATGCTTTTGAAACACTCCAGGGGAGATGTCAAGTAGGCATAAGACGTCATGTAGATGTTAAGTGAAGTCATGAAAATAGATGTGATCACTCAGAGAGATGGGATGAAGTGAGAAAATCTGAGGACCCAGTACTCAACCACTGGAAATTCCAAAATTTAGAGGACAGAGGAGAAGCAGCCAGTAAAGGAGGTGGATAAGTCATGGTCAGAGAAAAGGGAAAATAAGGAAGTTGTAGTTTTAAGGAAGACATAAGAAAATAGCATATTCAGGAGAAAGGAGTGATTATCCATGTCAAATGCTAAGGAGCTAATAAATAATCAAAAAACACCATGGAATTGGTATCATGGAGCTCACTGACATAAATATAGAAAATACAATTTCTTTAAAATTGCATTGGATTTTAACATACTGACTAATCAAGTTTACTGTTGACCAATTGAATAAATATATGAAGACGATAAAAGAGACATATTATTTTCCCAAGTGGCAGTATATTTAGAAATTATCTTACTTCTGTCTTTATGTAACTGTATGGTATACAAAGAAGCAGTAATAAACTATGCTGGTCTAAACTTACTTCCCTGGAAGTGCAAAGTACTTGAATTCGGCACTTTCTTCTTGTGTATTCCCAATATCAAGATTACCAGGTACCATTGCTGAGGGAACCATTTGCATAGACCAGTAGTTCTCAACTGGGGACAGT